GAAAATGATGAAAATGATGATAATGACACAGATAGCAATAATGAAGATAATGAATTTGATGAAGATGAATTTGGAGCTGCATTTGTACAAAGTTTACAGAATGAATAAGAAGCATATAAAATTTGTGTTTAATTTTTTTAATTTTATAAAATTTTTTTTAATAAATAAAAATAATATATTGTTAAATATTTTTGATATTGTTTAAATAATTGAACTGCACTGTCAATAAATGCCTGAAAAGGGTATAATTTAAAGCATTTTGACAACATTAGACATTTTGACATTATTTAGACTTTTGATATTAATTTAGGCTTTTGACATTAATTTAGGCTTTTGACATCAATTTAGGCTTTTGACATCAATTTAGGCTTTTGACATCAATTTAGACTTTTGACATCAATTTAGACTTTCAACATCACTTTAGACTTTCAACATGCCTAAATGTCGAATGACGAAACGTTTCAACAAAGCTCAAAATGTTTCAACTAACAACTCTATTCTATCATTTAGTTCTCCAATTTCTTTGAAATCCTAATTAAATCTATTATTTGAACCTTCTGTGTAGAATTATTTTCAAGTTATTTCTAAAGTGATCCAATCATTTAAATTCCTTTGTTTAAATTAAATAAATTAAATCTAAGAATTAAAAATCTGTTATATTTAGAATGTTAGAATATTTATTTCTCCGTCATTTGAGATATTTTCTGTGAGTCAATTATTTTATATAAAAATATGAAATTGGAATACTTGATCAGCTTTTCTGATTTTATTTGTGTTCATAAATTGTTTCCGATTTATTTATTGATTTCCCATGATATGTAAAATTACTATCTTACTTTTAAAAATTGAATGATTGACATCACCATTAAGAAAAAATTGAATGATTAATGCCACCTTAAGAAAAATGTCAAATGATTAAGCCAATGATTTCTAAAATAAGATTAGTTATGAACGTAACTTACTAAAATAGACCTATCCATTTTTGTCAATTAATGATATATATTTATTTTTTATTAATTCAGAAACATTATATTAATATTAAGCAAGCTATACATTTATAACAATATATATTAATATGAATTGATTTAATTCAGATATCTTTTCTGAAAATTGTTTATCACAAAATTTTTTGTAATTTTTGCGGATATTCTGAGGTCCCAATATTTGCGACTCGGTAAAGTAACGATAATTTTGAAATTTTCACAAAATTTGCGGATAATAATAACTACTCTCACTCGATTATGTAATTCATTATATTTGCAGATCTCAATTGTTGTTGTACAAAAGTACTTTGATTTTTTTAAAAAAAATCATTAATTTTTTTCTTTTATATATTTAATATTTAGTATGGTTAGAAGTCGATTAGAGCTTTCTAAGAATCAGCAAAAGCGGAAAACAGCTATTTTAACTTTCCTCGAAATAGACATTTATTATTATTATATATAACTCGAAGTTCCTTTTATATACTTAATATATAGTATGGTTTAGATATTCGATGAGAGCTTTCTAAGAATCAGCAAAAGTGGAAAACAGCTATTTTAACTTCTTCGATTAGACATTTATTATTATTATTATTATTATTATTATTATTATTATTATTATTATTATTATTATTATTATACATAATAATAACATTGATAGCATTTTTTTTACACGAAATTTCCTTCATATATTTAATATGTACACACTATTGCATTTTTGATTAGTTTTCGTAAATCATTCCCTAAACAGAAAAATCCACCAATCAACTTCGGGGTTCGCGTTAATATGATCAGGCGCTTTAATTGGAGGTCACATACAATAGAGAGAGTCCTCTGCGTATATACAAAACCTTTTGCACACAAACACAAATATAATTAATTAAACTTTTTTGTAACAATCACCAATATATAAAAAGTTGGTCGGAGTTTTTTAACAATAACACACTGCTAAAACTGTCACCGATAAAAACATTTTGTGACACAAACAAACAGACTAAACAATTATTTCAATGAATTTACTAAATTAACTATTACTGCGTCTCACCGTTATTATCAGTTTATACATTTCTCCCTTTATCTTTGATCTTATGACCTATTTATCTAATGAAAATGATTTTTATATAAATATAGTAAAGGATAAAACTTTTTTTTTAACTTTTTTTTGATCTGATATAAATAAATAAACAAGTTTTTAAAAATACCGAAATAATTTTCTTTAACTCCTTATGATAATTATTTATTTATATATATCAATATCGACAAAATTATTTCCATTATTAATTATTCTCACATTATATAAAAAAATTTTTTAAACGGTAGTCGGTATAATAACAAAAACAATAAACGATACCACCGCCAACAATATGTCTCAAGGTAAATAACAATATACCTATTTTTTATTTTTCAAACTTATTTTTTTTTTCAACTTATTTTTTTTTCCAACTTATTTTTTTTCTCGCAATTTACAATTTTTGCAATTTACAACTTTACAACTTGCAAATTTCTCATTCTCGTTCTTCACTCCTTCAGAATATCCACAACATAATAATTTGCCATCAAGTCAAGTATCTTGGAGTTTCGTTTCTAATAATGATAATTTGTTGGATGATGATGATAAAAGTTATTTATATTCATGCGCAAGTGACAAGTCATGGAGTGTTCTGGGTGGAAGCACTCAAGAAATTTCCAATTCATTAAATTATGGCTATCAACATAATTATGATGATAATGATAACTCCACTATTGTTGATTCACTCAGTATAGTTTCAAATAATAAAAATAAATTTAATAATAATAACTCAAGATTATCATCAAAAACTTCTCCCCCTCCACCTTCGTCATTCCCAGAACCCGAATTTGCACCTTCTATCAATAATGAATCAACTAAAGATTTTCTTGAAGATACTTTTAGATATGAAAGAAGAAATCCGGAAGATTACGTCGGTCATCCAAGTCAAGATTTGCGTGATAATATTGATAATATTGAAAAATATGATGATGATATCGATGATGATGATTATAATAATGATAATGAAGAAGAAGTAAACTATATTAATGATGTTGATGATGATGATGATGTTCCTCATGATATTGATCAAAATGATGATAAATTTCAACTTAGTCCAAAAAACCTATTAAAACTAAAGAAAAACCATTGGACTCATTACATTTTATATTCTAGTAAGTTTCTTTATAATTGCATGAGAGTGGGAGGGTTACATGAACAATTTTATATATTTACTAATAATCTATTTTCTTTAGCATTGTATTTATTATTACCAATTATTTGTGGAGTGTTTATTTATTATTATTATTATAATTACGATAATATTATTAATGATAATATTAATAGTAATAGGATTAATGATAATAAAATCCATAATAATAAAAATAATATTCTTAATAGTAATCTTAATAATAATAATAATAATATTTTTAAAATTTATTATGAATTTATTGTTAATGATCTCAAAAAAAAAATATTTTAATTTTTAAATTTGAAAATCAAAAAACTCAATTTTAATAAATTTTACATTTACATCTCATTTCTCATTTCTTTTTTTCTTTTTTTCTTTTTTTCTTTGTAAATTTTTTTTTTAAATTTTAAACCAATTTTTTTTTTATATCTTCTTATTTTTATTGTTTTTTTGTTTAAATATTATGATTATGATTATGATTATTACTATTATTACTATTATAATATATTATCATTATTATCTGCACAAACTCAATTTAATAAACAACTTTCTTGATTTTTATTTGCCATGTGATATTGGCTATGTGATATTTGCTTTAGCAACAGTGTCTAATTTTCTCATCTTTAAGGATAACTTCTACTTCCTGCTCATCTATTTTAGATTTTTAAAATTACAAGTTGCTGTAATTAATCCTACATTTCAAAAAATAAATATTTAATACTATGAAAGGTTTTATGACACTGAAAACATTAATTAACTATCCTTTTTTTTTTTTTACTAATAACAATAAGAACTCATCAAATGTACTATACTGCTAATATTCCCAACTGTTTATGCAAATGTACATAGAGTTGCTGCATGAATACTATTGTTTGGACTTTTCTTTGTCCCTATAAATTAAAAAAAACCAGCAAGGCAATACTAAAATTAATTAATTAATAAATTGATTATTATTATTTGTTATCTCACAGCTACCCTTTAATTCTCCTGAACAAAATCCTTTATCCAAAGTTACAACCCTCATATCTTTACATCATAATAATACATAAAAAAATGCATATAAATTATTTTAAAAAAATTATCATCTCCGTCTTTTTTCTGATTTACTTTTTCTTAAAATGTTGATAATACTTCCTGAGTATGGACTAACAAATATAAATACAAAAAGTGGTCTAAATTTATGGACAATTAGATAATTCAAACTTCTCCATGCCTTCAAAGACCTGTAAACTTTTTAATTTAACATCATTCCTCCTAATGCTATTAATACAATTGTACTCAATATAGCTTTTGCTGTTGTCACATTAATTTCTATTTCCATTAAGACATTGAAAAACAATCAAAAGTAAAAAGTTTGAAAATCAAACAATTTGTAAACAAATAAGATTTTCAAGTTTTTTCTAAAATATTGCATCATCAATAATAATATCAATGATGAATGGATGATTCACTTATGATGAATTTTGTAATTACCTTGGCCAGAATTACCTGGTACTGATGAGGAAAAAGAACAAGTTTCTCAACCAATGCAAGGAATTGAGCACAAAAAGAATATGAAGATACTGATGCAACTTCCAGCATGGCTCTAATGGAAATAGAAGGTAAATTTTCATTTATTATTTATTATCTCTGATTTTTTAGTAGTCATCTAATGAATTGAATTCATTCACAATTTCATTATCACCACTATCATTATTCTCAACTTTATTATACATAATGACACATTTATGCACATATACAGTACCTGGAAGAAAGTATCCGAACGCAGTTTTTCGAAAATTCCGCAAAATATTACATAATAAAAAAATAA